CGAACTTGAGCAATTTGTGATGAACAAAGAGTAGCAGCAAGACTTCTAATAGCATCATCTAATTTTATGATTCTTTTTTATACAAGATACATACTATTCTAACGTGTTTTACAATCAGTTAAAACATCTAATAATTCCCATTGATCTGTATCATTGTATTGATCTTGCTGCATAATTGTTTTTTGTGCATCACAAAGTTGTTGAGCGTGCTTTGGACTGCGAAAAAAAGCTTGTAAATTTTTAAGTCATTTATGAATTATTGCAATTTGTTTGATTCTAGCTTGGACTGAAAGCTGAAGCGTATGCGCAGCACAAGGTAAATATTTTATTGATCTAAATTCTTCTGCTAATAAACGGCAAGCTTTGATCATGTTGGCACCATTGTCTGTAATAATAGTAAATATTTTCTTATCTAAATGCCAATTTTGAATAATTTTTTTTAACTCATCTTTAATAACTTCACTTGTATGTAGAAATGGAAGATAATGGCAAGACAAAAGTGCTTGCTAAACTTAAAATTTGAATCAAGCCACGTTACCATAATGCCAAGATATCTATACTTACTTTTGGCTGTCCAAAAATCTGTAGTAATATTAATGGTCTGTGCAGTATTTTTAATTAATTCTATCATTTGAGTATAAGTCCAATTATATGCTCCGCAAATAAGATTTTTTACAGTTTTGTTGCATGGAATAGAATAACTTGGCACACATTCGTGTAGTAATTCTCTAAATGATGAACATTTTAAAATGCATAGCGGTTGGATATCACAAATAATAAAAACGATTAAACGGCAGGTAATTTTTCTTTGTTTAGAAGCATCGATTGGAGTAATATCAGTATTTGTAGTTTGACAAGTAGGATTTTGCAGCTATTTAAATAAAATTTTGGCGATTAATTGTTATACTATGCAATATTAATAAATAGCGTCACTTGACATTCCCAGGTAATTGATACCTCGGGTTTAAAAAAAAAAAAAAAAAAAAAAAAAAAAAAAATTAACAAATAAAAGAAATTTAGTAAAGTTGGAACTAATGTGGTGAACCCAAATAGATCACGATTCAACAATTAAAATTAAGCAATTTTCATATTATTTGATTCTTAAAAAAATTAAATAGTATAAAATTACAAGATCTGATTACTGAATCACGATATTTGGTTTGCAACATTACCGTTATCCGTTTATTAACTTACTTCATTATTTCTATCAAGAAAATTTTTATAGTTATGTTCATAAATTTCATGCTCTTTTAAATGATTATGCAAATTAGTAGTACTGCTATGTGTAATATAATTATGGGCCTTTTTTGAGTTTATTATACAGATTTTACATCTAACGGTCTCCGGCTTAGTTCCTTCTTTAAAAAAATAATGGACATAACTTCGTCAAACTGTTTTGGTAGTACGACGTCTTTTTTTTTTAGAGAAGTATCTACAGAAGATAAGTTTGTATCTGAGATATCTTGGGATTGTAACGGATCGGAAGATTGTACAGACATTTTTTTTATGATTAAATTCATTCCTTCAACATGCTATATAAAGAAAAAAAAAACGTTCTTTAACAAATAATAGGAATTTTGAATAAATAAATAAATGATATTTTTATAAATTAATTAACTTCCTGCTTATACAGGAAATTTAATTTAATAATATTCACAATTTTTCTTAATTTCTGCAAGAGCGGCAAATTATTAAATGTCAAAAAAGAACAAAAGCTATATATTATGCAACATTCTATTATTTTAATTCTTTATATTAATTCCTTAAATTTCAAGGATATTTTTTAAATATTAGAGTTTACTTTATTAT